ATGCCATGTGTTCTTCTTATGGAGACTTACATTTTTACTAAATCATTCAATTTAGTCCGGTTGGGTGGTTTATTAACTCTTGTCACATTTTTCATCTGAGCTTCCTTGTCTAAAACGTAAGGAAATTTTGATATGGGCCTCTTCTTATTAAGAGCGTCTTCAGCAATGTTTGATTTAATGTCGGTCCCTACTAAATACGAAAAAAGGCTAGATTTCATCTTTTAGATGAAAAGCAAATGGAGACTTAATCTTGCAAACACCTGAGTTAGTTTAGTTTTAAAGTTGTGAGGGTTCTGGTTGTTTTCCAGTGCTTCACAGAAGCTATAAGAGAAATAATCCTGGAGATCATTTGGAGAAGTAGAGACTTTCTGAAGCCTGTGCATTTTCAGCTGTGTGAAGGACCCTGCCACCACAAGAGGAATTGTGTTGAAACCTAGATGAAGGACTAAAGAGTGGCAGAGTGGAAATGCAGGGGGGAAAAAAAGTGCACCTCCTTTTATCCTCTTCGATTTTGTGTGTTCCTCCTCCTTTGTCAGAGGTTGGGCATACAAAAGGAGCTGGCTCTAGATGTCAGTTTTTGGTAGTGGTATGAGAACCACTTGATTTGCTGCCTTATGAGAAAGGGTTACATCTGAGACACTTAAGTCCAAGCTGCTTTAACTGATTTAAATGTTCTTAGCATGTTGCTCTGCATAATAGCTGTCTCGCATAAAAGGTCTGTCTAACCCAATATCTGTTCTCCAACAGAGGGCAACATCAGACATCTAGTAAAGATAAATGTCTAGTGTTGGTTTCTTGTTCTTGATGTGGAGAGAGAACTAAGGTCCAGATCCAGGATACTTAGGTGTGGAGTTATATAGGCATTGAGTAGCAGCATTTAATCCTTCTTATGTGTGTTTTGGAAATCATATCAAAACTTTTGAACAGCTGCTGCTTGTGTAGGAATAAAATGAAATAACTTGCCTTGAATGAAAGTTGAGTTCTGATGAGAATGTATTTCAGTGCCTAAAGAATTGCCACTAACTTCAGGGCAAAAAAGAGCATATTTGTTTTTAAATGCTTTGAAGTAGGACAAGGTGCCAATCCTTATTTCCCGGAGCATGAACAAAGTCCTCCTGTTCCTTGGTGTGCAACCTGTAGACCCTGTCTTTCACTCTCAGCCAAGCTCTTGAAATCAAGGTGAAGTCTATAGCTGTCATAATGAATCACTGCATGCAATTTCCAATATTGAACAAGGGGAACGAAGCTTCGTTCCTGGTCTTGTAAAGTGAGACTTGATATGAATGGGGTTTCAAGATGTGATTGAAGCTTCACAGGAGAACGCAAAGGCTTTGGGCTGCCAAATTTTACTAGCATTTGCTGAGGGGGAGTTTAGTTGTTAATGACACTGGGCAGCAGATGGTCTTTGAAGAGTTGTTAAGACACTGTGGATCGTACTGTAAATATGTGGGTGACTGGAACCAGGATGCTGACAGTTCACTCTCACAGCTCATCATGAGAAGGTGACTCGAGTGGAACTGGGTGTTGCCAGAACATGAATTTCTTGGTATTTGGCAGTCTGCTATGTATCTGGGAAGAATTTTGCAACATAACGGTGGTATGGTAGTTGGGATGCACTTAGTTGTGTAAGGTTCAGAGCAGAGAACATGATATGTCTAGTCAACCTTGCTTGACCGCTGCTTATCTTTAGACCTGAAGGTACTGAACGTGTGCAGTTCAGCTATAAGACCAGTCCAGGAGTTAATTTTGGTCTTCTGTTTTTCCCTGAATCTGAGTGAGTATGCATTCATACTACAAATGAATCTGAAATGTTGAGCTGGGAAATAACCTGTTACAGGAGAAAGTCCTCTCTCCCCTACTGCAAACCTGGTCTTGACCTACTCTTCTGTTTTGCCTTGTCACAAAGTACCTCCAGCCCCTGCATCCAAACCAAGAAATAGAATTGTGGATTGGGGCTTTTTATTTTCATTTAACAGGATGAGGCACAATGTATTTCATCCAAATCCTTTGTCAAATTTTTAGACTGTTTCTCATCTCAGCCTGCTTACCTGTGCAGCTTTTTAGTATGACTTGAAGAAAATAGCCATATAAAGTATCCTAAGTGTGATTCATAACATGAAGTACACTATGTGGGAATTGCACAGATATATCAGAAACTTAGTGGACAGTGTGCAAGGACACAGCTCCTATTTTTCGAGGGACACTTACTCACACCTGTGCCCCGTCAAAAGCAAGCCAAATTAAAAACCTTGGATAAACTAGCCATGGAAGTTGAGTTTTTGCCCCGTTTTTGGAAGTGGGATGAGCAGCTACAATTTGAGACTCTTCAGCTGTGTAGTAACCCATTGAAACTAGGGTTCTCTTTGATGCTATGATCTTCAGTGCAAGTGTAATCTTCATGAACAAGTCTCAGGAAGCCATTTTCTTCCTATCTTGGTGTCTAGGTGTCATAGTTTTTCAATAGATTCATGGGGTCTTTGGTTTTGGTGGTTTTTTTGTTTGCTTGTTTTAAAATTAAGATGACTGTACACCTTCTTCCTTGAAATGATTCTTCCTCTCTCTGCAGTCTCCTGGCTTAAGTCAGGAGTGAGATACGAGCTGAAGAATTCTTTTATTCTTAAGCGGGGAAACAAACTGGTTTGGGCAGGTGTTTGCAAGGACACATATGCTAAATCAGTTCAAGATAGCGCAGTAACTGGGTCCAGCTTTTTGCTTTGATGTCACTTACTATTTGGACTCTGTCAGCTTGGGTACTTGTCCCTGTCTTGTGATCTGTTCACAGATGCCGAACAGCTTTGCTGCTAGTCCGTGATGTAAGAGGTTATTAGGTAATAAAATCCACTGTGAATAGGACTGACTAAATGTAAGGTGCCCATTAGCCATCACTGTTTCAGCTGAAATGCATGTCAGGTGTCGCTGGCTTTCCCTGCCTGAGGGTAGCACTAACAAATTGTCTCTGTAGTCTCACAGTTTCTCCAGTCTGGCCTCACAGCAAGATCAAAAAAGTTTCATGGGTGTCCTGTCTTCATAGTGATAGTATTGTCCTTGGTGTAAGATGGTCTCTTTTTCGTTAGCTTTGAGACATTTCAGTGTCTTCAATAACAGCTTATTAATTTCTTTATGGTCTTGCGATAGCGTTCAAACCTGAAGAACTGAAACACAGAATTGACACATAGACAGGCAAGCTGGCGAAAGGCGTGGTAAGTCTGGTCTCCTGAATGCCAGGCGCTTGTTTCAGTGTTTCTGCAACACAGCTCTGCGTTACGTTTAGAATAACTTGTGATGTAAAGTTGCACTGTTTTTTCTAGGAGAGGAGAATCTTACCCTGCCAAAAAGGCCAAAACCCTCCTACCAAATTTTGGTGAGTTGCAACAGTGTAACTTCAGGAGAATTGTTTTTGGCCTCTGTATTATTTAGGCTTTGACTAAACTAAACTCTGTATTTGCTAGTACTTCTGATTCCTAGTCTTGTATAAGCATAGGATCTCTTCGAGAGGAGCAGAAACATGGTTTGCCAGTCCATTGCATCTCATCAAAGTCAAATTACGAAGTCTAATTTCTGAAAGGAAAACATTTTAATACTGGTAATTACTGTTCTGGTGAAATATTAAGGCTGGAACTAGCTGAATTATGTCAATTAAAATCCTCAGTTAACTTCTGTTAGGGAGTAATTTAAAACAACAATAGTAGTACGTTACCCTTTGCTTTCTGAAGGCACATAATTCTTGCTATCATTGAATGACAGATACGCATGGACCAGTTGGAAAATACCACAAAGGGAGGGTTTTTAAATGTTCAGATTTGCTTTAATGACTTTATAAAAAAAGTCTGCTAAAAATCTCCTGCAATGAATATGACCCTCAACAGTAATATTTATGTAGTGTAATTAGTGTGTTTGCTAAAGATCCCATTATTGTTCACAATGTAGTTAGACTTACAATCTAGCAAATGTGACATACTATAATGTTCTGCTTTGTAAACATTATAGACTCCATTTTAAGACTGAGATTGCCTCATGCCAACAAATAAAAGAAAATCATGGCCTCATAAAAACTTCTAATTATTTAGATGTGCACTCTATGTGTTCCTGATGCAAAGTTGAGAGTGAACCAAGGTGAATATGGAGCACAGGTGCAAGCTTCAGTGCAGGTGATTTGCCAACCTCCTTTTATGTAAGCCTCGGCTGTCTGCTTAAATCTCACTAAGTTTAAGGAGGAAAATGTGCAAATCTGAACAGCTTTTTAACCTCTTTTGCACAGGCATATTTGTATTGTGCTTCTGCCTTATTTTTCATATTTCTGGATAATAAATAGGTATTGTTTTGTTGGTAATCCGGTGAAGCCATGTATATATGTTAATCAGTTATTCACTCATGGGAGGTTACTGTTGAGCCAAGCCCATTTTCATTTCATTTTTTAGGGCTGAACTTCATTTTTTGTAAATTTTGTTGTATCTTAAATGGACAAGAACTTGGATACTAGATTATTGGAGCAGTACGCAGAATGGGCCATTGCTAAAAATGAATTTTCATTTCATGTTTGCTGTGAAAGACCTGTACTAAAACTCTTGTTTTGGTGTAACTGCTTGCATCATTCATTTCTTCAAGTCAAATAATGAAATGATCCAAGTCTTTTAGGCTCTGCTCTTTTGAGACCTGCGTGTGGTACACGAGCTTGGAGGATGGCCTGCTTCTCCTTGTTAGTCCATGAGAGCGCTTCTTGTCCTTGTCTCTCTCTGCCATGGTCTTTGTTAGTCAAAATATCTTACCATACTCGTAGTAATTTGCTGAAGAGTACAAAGTGGCTGCTCGCAGCAATGAGAACAGATTCCAGATAGGAGACTTTTTTGAAATAAGCTTTGCTTTTATTGCAGTAGCTATTAGATGCTGTTTCTACTGTCAGTCACTGTACAAACAGAGGAAAAGATGGGTGCTAGCACAGCATCTATGGTCTAGGTAGCTTGCTCTAATTGCAGTCTCTCACTGTGAAAACTTTCCCACAGCTGTGCCAGCAAACATCGCAGACCTGAGAAACATAGAAGTGCTCAACTTTTTCAACAACCAGATTGAGGAGCTGCCTACACAGATTAGCAGCCTTCAGAAGCTCAAACACCTTAATCTTGGGTGCGTATCTTAATGCAAAAATTTGCTGTAATAGAGGTGCTGTCAAACATAGCTGCAGCTGAGCCTGGAACTGCTTTTTTTTTTTTCTTTCTGTTAATGTTTCTTTTTTGAAGTGGTTGTGAGGGTAACTTGGCAATTATTGCGTCAGAGTGTTCAGCTAGTGTCCTGGATAATCAGATACTTAAAAGTGATCAAGCACTTACATGGTTATCAGTATACCAGAGTAAGGGCAACAGCAACTCACATTCATCTAATACTGAAGTCAAACTTAACAATTACTGAGTTTTACTTCCTTAGCAACTGTCTCTTAATTCTGTGGTTGCTGCATAAGAGTCAGGCTCTATTTTCTGTTCTGCTTTTTGTGTTGTTGGTTTTTTTTAAAAAAAAACAAACAAACAAAACCAAGACCCAACCCAAGCACACCCCGAACGCTAATTTTTCTGTTAATTTAGGACTTGAATTCCAAAGTCCCAAATTTGAGATTAAAGACACTTCAGTTTCTATTAAACGTGTTAAAGAAGCAGCCAATCTTTATTGTGGTGTGCATTTAATTCAAAGAGCTAGTATTGACTGAAGCTGAGCCAGA